GTGTCGCGGCGCGAAGGTCGCCGTGGTAAAAGGAGAGGTGGACTTGCGCTGACCGTGAGGCGTGTGAGGGAGTGGAGCTAAAGCAGCCGTACCTTGGGTTTCGGCCTGACGCACGGACTTTTTTTTTTTTCCCTTTTGTTTCCCTTTTTCCTCCCCGTCCCCCCCCTTTTTTTTTCTTTTTCGAACAGTTTTAAAAGACTTTGTCTTTTGAAATGCACAAATGGCCCGGAAAAATAGGAAGAGTGGCAGCATGCTTACTGTTGTCACAAAATAGCTCATCGCACTGCTGTATGTTGCCTTTCCGTCAGTTCGGATAACCGTACATATAAGAACACGTATAATACTTCTGTGTTTTGATCCTCTTTGAGGTGACATATAACACTGGCGTGAAAACCTGTTGATTTCTAAGTGGAATGAAAGATCTCCGAAAACGTAGATTAGATTACATGATCAGAACATTAAATGATAAGTCTTTGCTACTGCGGGCTGTCAACAGTGAAGCTATTATAAGTAACATTTGTTTAAAAAACTTAAAATATAGATCACTTATTCAAGAAAAGCTGTAGTACTAAGTAGTTAAATAAAGCAGGGAAGTTGAGCCTTAATCTGTTATATGTTTATTTGGTACCTTGTGGCTAGGCATCATGACTGACTGACTTACCTCAGTTTTCTCGGTGTTCATAATTCTTTCTTGTTCTAAATAGAACATTATAACATGACAAATAGGAAACTGGAGTTTAATTCTTCTTTCAGAGAGTAACACTTATAATTTGTATAACACTAATTTTCTTTCTTGGACCTTCAAAAAAAAAGGAATGCCACTTTAAGAAGTTCTACAAGTTTGGAAGTTCATATATTGCTGCTTCATATGTTAAGTTTTTAGAATCTGCTGGTGCCCGGGTTGTGCCAATAAGGTACACTTTTAATATGTTTACAAGAGGATATTAATTGTTTAGCAGAGCGTGTCATCTTAGAAGCACCGAAAGCAGCTATGCTGATTTTCTGAGAGTTTTGAACCCCTCACAGGCTACAAGAAGATGCTCTGATTTGCAAGCTCTTTTTAGAGATCAGAATCAAAGCAGGCTGGAACATACCATGTTTAATATTTATTTTCCTAATAGTCTTTATTATAATTTTCAGCATATTGAATATTTCTTTTTTAACTCACAAACAGTACAGGGTAATTTTATTCTGTTATTCTGGAGTTATCTGTAGTGAGTCTAATGTATATTGCCCCACAAACATGCATATCTAGGTAGATAATATCTTTTATCACAACCCGTAATCTTAGAATTCAAGTAATGGAGGAAGACTATCAGTTCTGCCCATATTGTGGGCCACTAACTCAGTATCTGGTAAAATTTTAGCTGTTGGGCAAAACGTAGCAGAGTAAATAACAGAACTAATGATACTTCATAGCCAACAGGTAGCTAGCTATAAAATGCTAAGTGCACTGTTGTAAGAAATTAAAATGATACTAATACTGCTGCAGCAAATCTCAATAGGTCCAATAGAGGCACCGGTGAAGTGCCTGAGTTCGAAACCAATGTTCCTCGTGCAGCTGATGGAGCTTTCAGATGCTTGCTGACTAGAAGCTTTGCTAATGAAACGGGGGCATCTAATTCTTGACAGCTAAATTAGATGTGGCGGAGCTGGATGCTTTGGATACACCTAGTGCATCAATCCTGCATGAGTTTGGCTGTCATAGTGTTTTGCTGATGCTGAGGTCTTTTTCATCTTTCCACCTCTCAACTGGAGCTTTACTGAAGCATGGGTGTGACCCACTATCTGCAGCTCTGCCCTTTTTGGAGTCAACCAGAAACCGGAGTTGCCAGTCTGCAGGAAGTAATAGCCATGCTATTCATTTAAATGTTATATTTAATGAGTACCTGCAGAGGGGTCTTGGAGCACATAATTCTGAACTGTACCTGACAGGGTCCTATTTCCAGTCTTGTGCGTCCTCAAGTCTCTGCTGAGCTGTTTCAAGTGAAACACTTCAGGTTTGGTGAAACAGTATTTTTTTTGAAAGAAACCTCATTTGTGTACCTACATATAAATCAGGAAATCCTGACTATCTTTCACTTAGGTCAATAAAGTTTTCCCGTTTGAAATTACTGTTAGAATGTAACCAGGTCTTCTATGTTTGAAGTATTACCAGCAATATACTCTGTAATGCAGTAATAAAGAACGCACATCTATGTGGTGGCAACTGTTAAAACGCTTATTTGTGTCCTTATTTATATTGGTAAATATTTCATGAGCTTTTTGTCTTGAAATGAATGACCAAACCTTTCTCTTGTTTTGCAAAGTGAGGGATGATATATCAGGTAAGGATTTTATTTCAGACATTTACCTCCACCTGTCTGTGGGAATTTGTGAAGGCCTCCTGTTCAAAATCAGATAGGCCAAGATCCTGGCAGACACTTGGGAAGGCAAGGCCATCTATGTGGCAGCCTTTGCTTTTAGACCAGCTCGGGCGAGGTGACTCCTGTTGCTGCTGTATTAGATCGCAGGGTAGATTCGGTAGAACGGTTCTAGCATGATTTGCAGCCCAGCTGCAGGAAACGTGGTAGGCCAGCATAGCATTGAGCTACAACGTTACGCAATGATTCCAGCTTTGAACTGGGAGCAGTACAATGAGTGCTTTACTGACAAGTATGCTGGTGGTGATTTGAGAGCTAGCTTGACTCTCAGTGGTTTGTAGCTCTTGTCTGCTGTTCCGCAATTTTTTTAAGCATCACAGGTGGGGAATTAGTCGGAAAGGTGGCTAATCCCTTTCCATGAGAGAAGTGAAACCTTCACTGAGAGGATCCTAGCCATTTGCAACTCCTGGGTGAATGAACTGGTACAGTGAGACCACAAAAGAATAAAGTAGTAGCGTAAGAGCTTCAGAACAGTTCTTGTGATGGTTTGGGACTATTTTCTTCTGAATGTTTAATACACGCTTTCTACATATTTTCTGTGCCCTTTGTTTCTGTTCAGCAACTGTGATACTTTTATGGTAAAATATGTATATTTCAGACCTGTCCTGTAACTATTTTCTTGGTGTTTCAGATTAAGTCTTTCAGATGAAGAGTATGATAAGCTGTTCCACTCTATTAATGGGTAAGTTTTGAGCACTGGCTTTCTATTGAAATGTATTATAGGTATGGATTTAAGCTGTGCCATGTTCTCAGGACCTCTATCCTTCTACTCTCTTGAAAGGCTGTGCTGAGCACAGTACACATATAAACCTGTTCTAAGACGGAGAGATCACCATTTCGTTCCATGTCAGTCCATTTCCTTTCCTTTCTTTAAGAGCACGTCAGATCATCTGCACCAATGCCAAGAATCATTTTGGCATTCTCGTATGCTTGTCTGCAGGCAAACAGAAGTGGCATTGTAGTGGATAACAATTGGCTTATACTTTACAAGTGAAATAGCCCATTTCCTCTTTCTTAATTTATTTTCTCTTCCTCGTTTGAGTGGTCGGCTTCATTTTGAAGTTTAATAGCACTCGCTGGGAGCATCATTACTCTTAGGCTTCCCTGCTCTTACCCTCCTTTTGTAGCCTTTTCTTCCATTCTTCTCCAGTCTTCTTCATATTTTCTCTATCCCAAAGGTTTCTGATTTTTAGTCTCTGGTTTTGTTTCTACTCTTTTCTGTTTGTGCTCTCTCTCTCTTGCTTCTTACATGGCCTGTCTTGCCTGTTGTGATTCTGTGGCTTAGGGTTTTGTTAGACAAACATATTCTAACTTGCCAGCTGACCTATGGCAACTGTCCACCCTTAATATAGCCATGTGCTCTTTGTTCTTACATTCTTTTAAATGTGAGATGATGTGATCTAAATTAACACACTTGAATTGTGGACTAAACAAAGTCAAAACATTTTAAGTTTGCCTTGTGCTAAAACTAAAGAAGAGTTAAATCAGCTGATACTACCCTTCAGAGACTTGGCTGTGTATGAACCCTTAGCGTGTGATGGGGCTACTTGTAGTCGTGAGATGAGTGTCTTACACCATGAATATTTGGTGTATTCATAAACCAGTATGTTAATCAATATGAGTAAAACTTGCAGATTTAGACCTGTGGCTGCCAGGAGAAAGAATTTTGTGCCCCAAAGCATGCCCTATAAACTGCAGTGTAGGTCTCTCTAGCTTTACAGTGTTAAGAAAGTGACATTTTTCTCCTCTGTGAGGAGTCTCCTGTTGGAGACAGAATGAATTATTTCATCCCCTTTTCATGACTGCAAATCTATCTTTGGTTACAAAGACTGTATCCAATGGAATCTTGCATTCTTTCCGCCTTCCCACCTGCTTGCGTGCAGAGGAGGGTGGTTGGGATCCAATTCCATTATTCCTCTGTCTTTCCTGTGACTTACGAGTTGGTGGACAGGTGTAGGTGGATAAGGGTGGTATATATTTCCTCTTGTTGCCCTCTGCTGTTAGCTAATGGCTTTCACAATATATCTGTATGTAAATAACAAACAAAACCTCTGAAGGGAAGGTCTTTCCATGCTATGGAAACTTAGGATAAGCAAGATAATGTATTGATCTTTCATGTTGTAAGACTTTAGCTCCAGGTTCTTTGTGGTCCAAAATTATCTTTATTTGTTATAAAATGGCTTCTTAAAACCTTGAATGTAGTACAGTGAAGACAGCAATTTTATGAATGTAGCAATGTACTTCTGAAATTGCCTTTAAAATTTACAATGAACTCGTCAGCACTAATCAGCTAGAGATTTTGAAATACATGTAATTGCATTTCAATGTGCTTATCACCCTGTCAAGCCATTGTCATCTTTACTTAATAGGTTACTTCCTTTTTGCACTTAAAGAAATGAAACAATTGTTTCTCCTAATTAATGGTGGCCAGTTCATGACAGTATGAATGAAAGGACCAGATGAATTGAAATTTCCATCACTTCTAGATAAGGATCACCTTATTTGTCTTATTCTCTTCTTTCTTTTACGTCTAATTATCTTATTTGTCTATTTCTCTGTAGAATCCTATAATTTCACCTATTTTAAGACGATTCAGCTGTAATCATTTTCTGTGTTAGTACTGGAGAGTAATCTGATTTGTATGTTTGTGAATAGCGTTCTACTTTTCCACCAAATTCTTGGTGGCTTTTGCATAGCCCTGTGCATTGTAAATGTTAAACTAAAACTAGTCCTGAGTGTTCAAACACATTCTCACTTTGCAGATGCTTGGGATGATTTGAGGATGTTGCGTATCCTTAGCTGCTTGTTAGCATCTCATTGGTACAGGTTACTGTTTTCAGAGCAGGGAAATGTCAATGGAGCCTAGCATATACATCCTATATCCAGGTAGTGGAAATCCTGCAGCCTTTTTGGTAAAAAGTCAGCAGCTGATAAAGGTGGCTTGAGTAAATGTTGTTGAAGTCCCACTGCAGTGGGGACTGTCACGTTCAGTTCTGCACGTGCTGTTCCAGTTGTAGCTGGAAGAGATTTTTCTTATTTTATGTAATTGAATGTCATAGTAGTACTTGATTACTTTCCATATCATCCTTATCATCATTTGTACATGTGAAATCTCTGCTGCACTGTGCTGAGTGTTCCTGTTTACTTGTTTTGGGTTTTTTTGGCATTTGGTTCTGGGGAGCCATACCGAGCACTGCCGTTGTTGAAATCATTTTTGTGATGGAAAACCATTGTACAATGTTTCTTCAATTCCATATCCGAGATTGCTGTATTTCTTTTGGCTGTATTAGATCCTCTGCGATCAAAAGTTACAGGCAAGAGTAGTTTTCCGCCTCTTTTGCATGAACTTTTTGATCTGCGTTGTCCTAAGAAGGTGGTTCTGCAGAGGTCGCAATTATTTTTTACTGAAATTGAGTAGGGCGAATGAAAATTGGGGCCATGATTTTATAGTAGTAGGGAGAGCCAACTAAAAGTCAGGGCGGGATTTGACCCTTTTGTTTACCAGCCAAAGTCTTTATTATGTATATTTCTGTTTGCTCACCTCCTCTTTACGCTGCACTAGCCTTGGTCACTACTTTGTGTTAATAACCTTCCTCAGTTAAAGAGCATTAAAATTTAGGATGGGATTTAGTTCAAGATTAAGATACCTGAATTTGTCTGTCTGCCTGAGTGCTGTCTAAACTCTCGTAATCAATGGAGAGTGTTAGTACAGCCAGTGCAGCCTACAGGGCTGTTCAGCTGACCAACCAGTTGATTGTCTGCTGCTTTAGCATGTATATTCCAGGCTCTATTGACTTTTCTGACTAAATCTCTACTGTCTATAATGGGAGCTTAGTTGTCTAGCTATGGACTTCTGAAATTTAATTGTCTAGAACCACATTGTACCCTTAAAACCACAACCTGCCCTTTCTGTATATGTTGCCCAGGTTTTAGTTGTTATTCGTTATTGCTGATCAGATTCTTGGTTGTTGCCTTGCAGGATACTTTTTCCAGGAGGTGGTGTGGATCTTAGGACTTCAAAATATGCTAAGGTTGCTAAGATCTTTTACCAGAAGGCATTGGAGGTAATTACTAAGGAACAGTTCTTGTTATTGTCACTAGTCAGAGATGAAATGACAGGAGGCTAATATTTTCCTAGTTTCCTACTGGAGTCCACCGTGTTAACTGTAAAGCTGCCAGTAAGTAACTCATTGCTGGTTTCTGTGTAAAAAATCATTTGTAGTTTAAGATTAAGACTCCAAACACCTTTTCTCGTTATGCACTGTCACTGTCCTAAATGCCAAGTTCTCGTGGTGGGAACTGTCTCGTTCGTTGATTTATGTGGGGCTTTATCTCTGTTTGGAACTTGCAATAAAATAACAGGTGTGCCTACTAAAAGCACTGGGTGTCCATTGACATTAAATGTGGAATGACAATACGCACATATATAATAAATGTAAAAGTCTCAGTCTAAATGTAAAAGTTTGAATTCCTCCTGAGGAATTCAAAAGAGAGATTCTCAAATAATCCAGTTTAAATAATATAATGTTATGGCCTTCCTTAACATATACATTACAGACACTGAAACATCTTTATTCTTACTCATCTATAAACAGACTTAAATATATCTTTGGAGGTGCAAATGAAGGATCTACATTTGCATGAGTTACACCATTTAACGTAATTCCATTCAACTGCTAACTGTAAATGTAGCATTTTTTTAGAGTAAACACTAGCTTAATTTATAACACAAATGGGGGTGTGGGCAATCATTCGTTATGATTTAATTATTAGCATTAATTATCAGGTTGACTTTGTGGGAAAGCTATTTCTTTCAAAGAACATTAGGAAGGCTCTAAATCCTAACTGAAGATTTAATTCTCTTTTTTCCAAGCATAAGAGGTTTTTTCCAGATATTAATTGGTCAATTCTGAATTTCAGAATTTTGTCTTGAAAATGCTTTGTGGAAAGGAATGGATTTTCACTGAGCTTTTTTCACTGTAAAAAACACAATTTCTGTGATTTGTTAAGGACTTTCTGTGTCCAAATTGAATAAAAATGAGAATTTTCTTCCCTTTTCCCCCCCTCACCTGCTTTATTTCCAACTGAAAAATCATGCCACAAAAGTCATAGTTCGGAAATTTTGCCCAACTCTAGCACCAGTTATGAGTAATTCTTAAACTGTTATTGCAACAGGAGGCATTGGTTGGCAGTGAAGAATTCCTTCCTTCTCCCGATGCAGACTTTCCTACAGCAGGCAAGGAGAACTTAGGCAGTGGCTAAGTGGAAAACTTAGTCAGCTGCTGCAGTCCTTTGCTCAGTTCCCATGGCACCAATATTCTTATTCTTATATATACATATACATGTGTATTATATAAATATATATATATTTATGTATATGTATATCTATCTGTCTCCACCTTTGTCATTGGGATTGTTAGTCTGTTACCTTAAACCTGAATCTCGCAAAGACTAGCTCACCTTTATGTAAGGCAAGTGATCTCATTTGTCTCTATGGACCTACTCACTGTGTGAAGTGTGGCTTCTGTATTGGTGTTCAGTATTGGGACGAGGGTTTCTTCTGGTTTTATTGTTAGTATTTGCAGTATTTATTATGAAATTATATGGACGTTTCACAATGATAAAGTGAATTGTTCAAGTTGTAATTTTATAACCGGAGAGGCAGGCTCATTAGAAATGGTATGTGTACTCAAGATGTTTGAAAGGTGAAAAATAATGTTCAGTTCATCATAGGTAACCTTACTAACACACCTTTTTTTTTTTTCTGTGCTATCCCTAATAATTATGAGTTTTGATTTTCATCTTTTGAGATTTAATTACGACTACAAATTATTGGTAGATTTACTTATGTAAGATGCATTGCAAAAGTCATGAGTATGTTAGCAGATACAGAGTTAACTGAGTTTTATGACTTTTTTTTGTATGTACAAGTGCTCCTTTTCTCTTTTTTTTTCCAGTGTTCACAGTGAGAAATATTTGGTCTGGCTCTGTTTTAACATAAATAGGTGATGTAAAATGCTTATCTCATTCAAGTCAATAGAATTTTACTATTGCCTCCTGTTAGGCAAAAGCTTAACCGAACTTGTTTTTTCCAGCTTTTAAATTAGTTTTTAAAATCTGGTATCTTTAGCGTTTTTAAACATATGTTTAGCCTCCAGCCTGGTATTTATTCAAAGAGAAACTGAGGGACTCAAAATGTTTGTGATTTGGCTGTAATTGTTCTTAAATTGTAGGTTGTGTTGTTGTTGTTGTTTGTTTTTATTTTTAACTTTAGTGCTTTTATTCCTCGCTTTACGTGAAAGAAACTCCGCAGGGTAGCAAGTTCTCTGTCTCAAGGCATACATGACAAATGGTCGCGAAGATTCTGCCATACTACTAACCTTCTTTTCGTAAATTCTTCCCTGTTTTACTCTAAGAAGTAGTAATTACGTGGGCTTTTGTTACCACCCTATCAGTAATGCAGTCGGAAGACGTTTTTATTGTAAGCCTGTAGTTTCAGGTTTTCTAGAATGTTTTTTGAGCAGCATCTCTTCAAGGGGGTCATAAGTAAGAACAATTTAGAAACAAAAAAAGAGTACTTAAATTTCACAGAAACACATGAAATCTGAAATATCCCAACTCCTAAAGTGTGCTTACTATGAGGAATAAACAGTACAAAGGTGCAAATTTGCACTGTGTGCGCAGCATCACATGTGCTTAGTTAAATGATAGAAAGCTAGTTGTATTCTCTTTTTGCTTCCCTGCTCTCCTTTTTCGTTTCTTCAGCAATTTTTACACTTATCTTCCAAATTTTATTCTCTTTAAAATGACTGTCACTTTTTATTCTGTGTTACTTAAACTCACAGTTTATCTTCCTGGAACAGAGGTCCAAAATTGCTAGTTAAACAAGCACTTGGTGTCATGACATGACATTAAGACCACAGCCATGATAATAATAATAACTTGCGTTTTCTTAATATAGCTGGATGGGCACAGGTATTGCAGAGGATCCTTGCTATGGAATAATAATGCTTCTTTTGAAACTATGAATGGTAATGAATAGGCTCTCCCTCAAAATGGTGGGGGATTGTTCTGTGTCCCTTCTCTTGTTTTACAGGAGTGTTGTCGTTTTGTGATTTCTGTTTAAACTACTCTCAACGTTACTTACTTACAGAATTGAACAGTTGAATTGATACTAATGTAGGCCAAGATCACTGTCTGGGGGGACATCTGCATATCCTCTAGCTTGCATAGTTTTTCCTCTGAATAAATAAGGGAGTCAATATGTTTATTTCAATTGTGATTGTTCTTGAACTGTTACAATTCCTTTGTCTGTAGTAGTTTTGCTTCTCAGTTACACCAGAGAAAGCAAAAGGAGTAGCAAGTTCTACTGAGTCGTCTTTCTGTAAATCTTCAACACTTTGTTAATTTTGTTGCTTTTTGTTTTGAAGGCTAATGATAAAGGAGATTATTTTCCAATATGGGGAACATGTCTTGGACATGAAGAGCTGACGTATCTCACAAGTGGCGAAATTTTACTTGTTAATACCAACACAGATGGTTTTGCATTCCCTCTGAACTTTACCTCAGGTGAAGAATTCCGTTGCATGTAATGTTTAAATTTTGGTGAGAGGTGTTATTTTGTTTCTCATAAATAAGCAGGGCTGAATATCTAGGAAATTTCCCTTTATTATCTCAACAACTTCTTTCTTATTAACTTCTTTGTTATTAAGTTGCTATGACTGTTTTTACAAAGTCAGTGCGATTCTATGGCTTTTTAAGAAGAAATGTGAGCACGAGCTATTCGGAACCAATAGCAATCAGCACAAACCACAGTTGTAGCTCTTAGATTCAAATTATTATATGAATCAATTACCCCCATAAATAATGTGGGTTTAGGTCCCTTTTCCTTAGTGAGCTGGACAAAATACTGAGGTATGAAACCTGTCAAAATCGGAGAGCAACTGAATTTTAATTTTCCATCTTGCGCCTTACCGAAGAGTGGATATTAGCGATGCTATCTTAGTTGCACAGCATCAAGTATTGAAATTAGAGATATTACTTACCGAGGGAGGAGTGCCACTCAGCAACACTGGCAGAATGTGATTTCTACTGATATTTTCTATGGCTTTATCCTTGAATGTGAGAGTAATTGGTCAGTGGATCATGTAGTGTTCACAGATTCTGCGATTTGTTGTCATTGTGAATGGACTGTCACCGAAATGAGTGACAAAAAACAACGCTCAGTGAGAACTTAGGTGGAAAAGTTGGGTCCTCTTTGAGTGAGGACTGGAGGACATTAATAACAGCACGCTGGAAACCTGTTGGAGTTATTTCACTGATCTTCCTGGCAGCATGTTAAATCATGATGTTATGTTATAGAAACAAGGTAGCGTTTTAGTAAATTTGTCCTCTTCTGTTCAGTAGCAGTCCATCTGTCAGCAGGTTGAGTAATGGAGAATATCCTTTTTTGTTTTTCTTTGTAAAAGTTGCAAAAAACAGTAGGTTATTCAGGAATTTCCCTGAGGATATATTACATGCATTTGCTACTGAGCCATTGACATCGAACTTTCATGTGTGGAGCCTCTCCGTGCAGGTATTTGATCCATTTTATTTCATGAACACAAATACATTTGTTGGGTTAAAACTATAAATGAATGAACAAACAACACATCCTTTTTTATTTCTTCCTTATCACAGAATTTCACAAAGAATGAGAAGCTATATAATTTCTATAATGTTCTGACCACTAACACAGCTGACGAACTGGAGTTTATATCTACCATGGAAGGTGAGGAAGTGAATTTTGTGTGTAAAGTGGGACGGTAACAAAGTAGTTCTTCTTTAGAGATGTGCTGGCCGTGATACTAATTTGTAATGCAAGTTTACTTTTAACATAGCGTGGTGAATCCTGGCTCTATCTGCACTCCGGCTGTGAGAAACACTGTGTTTGCAGAGATAAATTATCTTTTGAGTACATATCTGTGAGCTTACTTCTCTCACCCGTTTTTCCCCTCCCAGATATGCCATTGCACTTGAGCACTGGAATGTTTCCGTGCCACAAAGGGAGATGTACAGCACTACTCTTTTTGTAGTTTAATCCCTTCACAGTGCAGTGCGCCTCTCTCGCATCTTGCTGTCCGTTTGCTGATGCTGGCTCTCCTGTGATGCTCCGTATCTTGTTTGTTGGAGGAGGAGAACAATTCATGGTATTGAGATTACAGCAATTTCCCTCATTACTTTGGCAGCAATACTGCTAATTGCCTTCCTCCAAAAGCCTTTTGCATTACATATACCTGCTCTAGGCTTGCTCAACTCAAGAAAGGTGTCAATTTGTTCCGGAGTGTGGGTTTTGACTAGGGTTCTGCTAATAGCTCTACAATAAGGTTTGGCTGCCAACCTGTGGGAGTCTTCTGTATGGCATGTTGATTGTCCTCCAGAAGAGAAAAATAGCTGTTTGATCAGATAACCTGATTAGCCTAATGGCAGGCACCTCCTTTTCCTGCAAGTGATTTATCACAGAGCAGTCACTGACTGCTGTGCTGCTATCCTCTGTAAGACAGTTAAGGACTGGGTTCCCCCAGGTGTATTAGGCCAGGCACAGAGCAGACGGGAGCTGCCACTAGATTGACTGGGCCTTCAAGGAGATCTCAAGACTTGAATCTGGAATTCTTTTTAGTTATGCAACGCGAGTAATCAAAGTAACTGATCTACAAAAATCTTTTTGCGTGGAATGAAACTCTCTTTTTATAATGCCCATTTTTTCATTGAATTTTACTGTGACTTTGTAGGAGTTTCAAGTTGCTATTTCAAGTTTTTGTGATGCTATTGATTATAAGTGCAATGTTTCTGTAGCTTATACTTTAAATTCTTTTTGCAATAAGATTATGCCCGCCTCACTCTTAAGGCATAGACTTGCTTACGTGCTTTGATGAAAAGTGTGTTTGTTGCAGCGTACAAATACCCAATTTACGGTGTCCAGTGGCATCCAGAGAAAAATGCTTATGAATGGAAGAACTCATCAGGCATTCCACATTCCTCCTTGGCTATAAGAGCATCATATTACATGGCTGACTTCTTCGTTAACGAAGGTAAAAACTTTATGATCTATAAATGTCAGTTTTTTGAGTGAAGCGTTAGTAAAAATCCTTGAAGAGAAAAGACCTGTTTTTCAGCTGTCAAAGTTCAATACCTCTGATTGCTTTGTGAGAAGCTTACTCTACAAGCTTTATAGGCTTATAAAAAAACAAGGTATACTAGAAATAGAATGGCTTAGTAAAAGTGACATAGAAAAACCAGACATTCTACTGAAACGAGTGTGTTTCCACTAGGAGTAAAAGCCTTGCCTGTGCCATGACTGTCTATCATTTTGAAGGATCTTTGTAGCAACTTAGTCTGCCTTGCACAAAGACAATGAAATGAGGAAAAAATGTCCCATTTGTAATTTCCAGAGGCTTCTGAAATGAGTTAGAGGCATTAAATATGTTCTTAGCTTTGCTTACCAAACCATAGCACCATGATTATAGATGCTGCTTAGGCTAAGTACAGAGATATGTCAAAGGGGTGCACTATAGTGTCCACAGTATTTAGCTGCTGGGCAGCGTAAGATGTTTTTGAGTTCTGCTGCTGAGCTTCTAAGTTTATTTATACCCTCAGAAGCTGGAAGCAACTAGTCTGCAAAATTTTGGTAGTTTATGAAAACTTTGTCCATCTGCTATAAATAAGTTGGATATGAATACAGAAATATCTGAAGTGATCAAGCTTATTTTGTTCCAGTCACTGCAGTCTTTTAAATTGACTATGTTTGAAATAGTCAAAGTAATTGAATAGGACTATAAAGTCCATAATCAATAACCGAATTGAGTTTGATCTGTAGATTTATCTGTATGTTATCCTTTTGATTAGAGAAAGCAAATGGCAGTTTAAAGCGGTGCAACTTGCGCTGAGCTGGTCAGAGAGAGTGTAGAAATAAAGGCTGTGCTTTATACAATTCAAGGCCCTTTTTTGGGTGCTGAAGTCTTACTCTGCTTTGCAGAAAGGTGGTAAAATTCCTTGTTGTCACCATCCATAAACTTCTTGTATTTTAAAAATTTTGATAGGGTCCTTATGGGAGACAAAATTAAAGGGGAAAACCGGAGAACGTGCAACATTAGTCTATTTTCTTGTGGAGTGTAATACTAAAATGCAATACGTTCTCTAGTTCTGTTTGATATGTTCTCTTGTATCTGTCTGCACTGTACAGGGTAGGCAGAATTAAGTTGCTCTGGCCATTATCTGAGTAAATCAGCGTGGCAAAAGAAGTGCCAACTCTGTGCTAATAAGCCATACAGAGATATAGGACATGTATGAATTTATGCCTATATGTATATTTATGTACACACACACGCACACATATATGTAATGAGCTTATGCCACACTGATGTGGTCACCAGCTTTTGCATCTGTTGTTCTTGAATTGTAGTAGAGCAAACCTATGTCAGTCAGCTTATATGTGTATATCCGCCATCTCATATGCCAAGCGACAAGGAATTCTTTGTTAGCTTTTACCCTCCTTAACACTGAAAATAAACTGCAGGGTGAGGAAACAAACTGGTTTCAACTGACAGAAATGTACTCAGTAGCTATGATCATTTACTAACTAAACCATTCTGTTGAAATAGCATCCCCGTGTCCATCCGCTGGTAATTCTAACTTGTGTAGGGTTGCGCACATGACAAACCAAGCCAGGATTCAGTTTTTGTTGTCTTCACCAAATCAGTCTGTGCCAACAGTGCAGCTTTCAGGAGACTAGTATTCTGATATGTTTCTCATGGTACTGTGAGAGCTGCTGGATCTCACAAATCCTCTTGTATAGTCTTGACTTTAAATGAATAATTAAATTTCTCCATCTCCAGTAATAAAATATTGCTGTAACTACATTTCTGAAGGTCTGTCTTCCCAGTTCTCCGCGTAATAGTTACTGTAATTCTATTTGTTCTTATGCTATACAGCATGACTTACTTTTCCAAGAAATAAATTATCAAGGATGATAACAGAAAAGTGATCTGTAATTTTAAAATGTTTTACAGCCCGGAAGAACCTACACAGTTTTCCCACTAAAGATGAGGAGACAAAAGAATTGATTTATAATTACACTCCGACTTATACAGGAGCATTTTCTTCATTTCAACAAGTCTATTTTTTTGATTGAATATCTGTTCAAAGGTGCAGCATTGCTGTTTGCAAAAGGAATTATTTGCTGGCATTTCATAATTAAGCTGATATAGTGCACTGCAGTTTACAGTGATTTATCCTGTGTTTCTTCTGCACTGTTGGATCATTAATCTAAAAATTTACAATTAATGAGGTAATAATTGTCCTGGATCACACTTGAATACAAGCCACAGAAAAATGATTTTTTTCCTCCAGAAAAGGCATTTTGATTATGCTTATAAATTTGAAAATGATCAGTTGTAGTAAAAGGAAAAACATGATATTCATATATTTCAAAATATGGGGTTTATCTCTGTAAAGTGTTGTGGACTGTGATAGCACTAGTGGTTTAGAGATGGTGCTTAGTACTACTCTGTTCTCTTAAAATGATTTAACGTAAGAGACTTCTGATCTTGGACTTGTTGTAAATATGTATGTAACTAAGTTCTTAACAGGGACTAGTTTGTCGTTTGAAAAAATAATAAAATTCGTGCTACATAAGCACGAGAATGCAATGTAAATTACACGTTGCAAATACCAGATAAAATTAACTTGGAGGGCATAATTAAGTGCTGATCCCACTTTCTACTCTTCTCAAATTCAGTTTCATAAATCCTGCAAGAATCTGTTTGATAGTAGCTGGATTCTGCAAATGGAGCAGACTATTTGTCGATATGTAAAAGAATGTCAACCTAACTTTTAACTGTGTCATGATTTGTACTCTTTTAAACTTTTAAAACTTTTTCTGTAGTTACTGGATAGAATTCTCACTGGTGGAGTCGGGGGAGTTTGCCATTGACTTAGTAGAGCCGATAGTTTCTTTCTCTTTCCTCATACAGTTTAATGCAACTGGAATTCAAACAGCAGATGAATGTATCTGAAAAACCTATTAATGTTGACATAATGATAATAGCAGTTACATTCAGTACGCTATGGTGCCCGTTTGTTTTTTTGCTCTGCTACATGCTTAGTGGCATGCTTAGTTTTGTTCAGTGGTTTTGTGTGGGGTCCAAAAGGGAACTAAGATGAGACAATCAGATATAATTTTCCTGTATTGCACAGCTTTCAAACTTTGTTAATGTCAGTGGGAATTTGGAGTTTATGAAGAATTCAGTTTGTACCTCAGCTCTCTGTTTGGCGGTACCTTGTGTTCTAAAGTACCACATCTGAATAAAGCCAATACGTTTCTCAGGTCATTTAAGTAAAGTATTCTATAACTTATTCTTCATAACCAAACAACTGCACAGACAATGTGAAAAGCGTTAATTAAAATAATGTAAGTATAAAATAGTATAAGGAAAAATAACTATGACTACTGAAAAGACATTGTTGGGTGATGACAAGCTTAGACTTGTGAAATTGCAAATTTCTGCATTTTCCTGATGAGCCAAGTTCTGTAAATGGAACTCTGTTTTTAATATAAGCAACCTTATTTTATTAACTATGTTAGCTGATTCCTGACTAGAACCAGTGTAAAAAGAGCATCATGGTCTCCAGTTGCAAATAGATGTAGCAGCTAAGATACCAAGGCCAGTCTTCCACTTCTTGCTCGTGTTAAGTTCATCGGAATATGTCTTAAGAGTCTGCCTGAGTAAGGAGTGCAGGAGTTAACCTTAATAACAGGGACCAATCTGGCAAGTGAAATGTCTGCTAACTGCAATGGTAGTAATCAGTTCACAGGTGTGTAACTGTGAAGAATATGGTGTGCAATGTGATGAGAAAGCAGTGCTTATCATCTATATATGTCTTTCCGTTGTATTCTTTATTTTATAAAGCCTTATTTGATGGTATTGGTGATTTTCTATGATACTTGAAATAAAGTTTATTCAAAAATACATGTATTTTTCTTCTCTTCTAGATTGCATGGATAAAGTATTAACATTCCTTGCTCCCCCCGCCCCGTGACACTCTCGAATCAGGTGGCTGCTGTAACCTGCATCCACTTGGTATAGTGTTGGGAAACATTGCTCTGTCCTGATGAGGAAAGCGAGGGAGCTGTCTATGCTGACTTACTCCGTGTTCTGTTTGGCACTCAGCACTGTAGGTAGAACGCAGGATCAGAACATTTGCCTGCTTACCTGCTTAATTTTCAAAGTCTTTTTAGTTCTAATGCTCATCTGCTGTAAGCTGAAACTAATCTATAGGCAGTCACAAAGCTAGCAGATGTGATGGCTAACTCTCAGTCCAATGGATTGCACTTTCCTTTAGTGGTAACTAGATGGTAGCCAGTTTAGAGGCAAACAAAGAGAGGCTGATATAGCAGGATGAATCATGAGGTTTGAGGGGAAACAGAAGTGATTGAGATAGGTTTTTGAGGGTTAGTGTCTGTCAGAAGTAGAGTAAGACACAGGCAGTTGTTCCTGCGATCCAAGACAGAACTAAGAGCTTCTAATGGAGGTCGTTGCCTAGGAGCTCTGTGTTGGGGGAGCAGCTGGAACAGGGCTGCCCTGCAAAGGAAGGTGAGCTGAGGGTGACAGCCTGGCCAACAGGGCCATGACCTTACAAGGGAAGCAGTTCCACAGTATCTGAATACGAAGAGCAGAACAAGTTTAGTGGCAGTAACAAGGGTCAGCCAGTCCAGAGGTTGCCAGACAAGTCTGTAGTGATGAGGCAGGTCCAGGGTCGAGCCAGATGGTCAAGTCAGTGAGTCAGGGTCAGTAGGGTCTATGGCTATGACAGGTGTACTGACAGCACAGCTCAGGCAAGGGCCAAGGCCCAGGGCCTGACCTTAATGGTAGCTCCTGAGTCAAGGGGTGGAGGATCCCAAGAGGGCTGCTCACAGCTCTTTCTCACGCAGCTTTTCTCATGGCAGCATGGCTCCAGGTTGTAGAGCTGTGCAGTGCCACAAAGGCAGCCAGACATTTAGGAGGGAGGGAGAGAGCATGGTGGTGCACTCGCGGCCCTGACACACTAGAGCTGTAAGCAAAACAACTGCTGTCTGCCATGTTCAGAGACATGAGAACTTATAATACTTGGCCTCTTCCATCAAGTTCTGCTGCAGTCAGAAACATTACCTGTAGGAACCCAGAGCTGTTGAGAGCTCACCCAGAAATGAGTTAACAAAAATTATTAAGAACCTTCAATAAAAGACCTCCTGTCTACCCTGAGTGGTGTACAACATAATTTTTCATTGCTCAGGTAAGGTAGAACTCACAATTTATATATAACTGGTAGTTTTCAGAACTGACGCTGGAGAGAGAAGGAAGGGAGCCTATGGCTATACTCTCAGCTTATTCAGAGTATAGCTGAAAAGCCTAATCATCTTGCTTCTCCCTTGGGGAAAAGATCCATCCCCAAAAAGCTCCCTTGGGCTTGCTTCTCCCTTGGGGAAAAGATCCATCATCCAGCAAAATAGCTGTGTGTGTTCTGCAGGTTATATTAAGACACCTTTCAGAAGGAAAAGTTTGAAATGGTTTTCTCTTTGTACTATTCTATTTTTACCACTAGATGGCCTACAAAAACCAGTTTTGCATATACAATTTCTTAACGTGCTTTACTGTTGTATGGGAAGCTTAGCGCTGTGTCATGTTGAACAGGATATTTATTGTACTGTGATATTTAATATGCACCAGGATATTGGGGCTGTGAGGCCAGAATAAGGGAGGACACAGAACAAGACTGAAATTTTACTTGGCATGACTGGCCAGATTGGCAGGACAGCAGGAGAGAAACAGAGAGAGGGGGAACAAGAGTAGAATTAACCAAACTGGGGCCAGCTCATGAATCCAGTGAATATTTGAAAAGTTTGAGCGTTAGTTGGAGGTGACTGGAATGGGGTCCCTAATTTCAGGTGATTGTTCCTACCGTACAGCTATAAAATCTGTCTTGGTTCCTTTTGCTAAGAATATGAAATTAATTCATGCAAAACAGGAGAGCTTGGACAGGAAGGACTGAGAACCTGAGCTCGGAAAACCTTTGCCTGGGATGTAGGAACGACCAGTTTGAATCTCTTCAGGCAAGGAAGAAATTGCAAGAATTACATCGTAACTAAGTGCCCTAAATATTGAGATACAGAGTAAAAAGAAGAACATAAGGCACAAGCTGCTTTATGGAAAAAAACTTTATGGGTTGAACAGATAAGCCAAATTTCCTAGCAAGGTGGTGAATTCCAGGTAGAGATTAGTGTCCAAGGCCCTAGAGGAGCAGGCTGTGACACTGTTCCCACTTTAATGCTGACCAGCCTGTGGATCTTATTTTTAAGTTAACTTTCACTTTGTCCTTCCAGCCTTATTCATAGCTATGGATGTCACTCAGCAAAGAGAGTGGGGAGAGTGGGGATGTGGTGGATTTTTCTTGGAATAGTGAGGAAAGAACAGAGGCTTTCTGAACAACCAGACAGAACAATAATTATCAGTTTTTTTTTTTTTATGAGAGTTCCCTTCTCAATTGCGTTTTATCCTTGAATTGCCTTCATGAGGCAGGAGGCCTGAGGGGAGAGAAAGAGCATGTGATCACACAATTGAAGACTATATACTAGTGTATTCTCAAGAGTGTGTATACTCTTTGAGGAGGGAGAGTATACACAATATGGTTTTAGTCATTTTTCTCTTGGTAATTGACTTTTTTCATATACGTATATCATGCATGCTTTTTTCCTGTGGAATTCACTTACAGGTATGTAATGAGTGCATCTATCAGAAGAGCCTATGTGAGCTGGGTAGCATTCAAGTCCCAATAAGGTTTCTAAATGCCTGTCCAAATTATTTTGGTTTGAGAAACGTGAAAAGGCACGTGAAAGACAGATGGATAACTACTATGAGGATACTGGCTAGCATCCCTCCAGCTTACACAGCTGACTGTGCTTGCAAATTACACTGACATCCACTACATTTGCAGATGCAGTGTGCAGCGCTCATTCTTTGTTGGCCTTACGTCCTTTCTCAAGGGCAGGCACTTTCCTTCCACCAGTGCTTGTCTATTGGGCAAATAGCAGAGAATATCTTGCCGCCTCTTGACTGGGACACTATTCTAACTTTCTCCACTTCCTTATAGCGTTTGCAACTGTTTCATAATGTAGCTGGTGTGTTTTAAGAGCCAGTTTTCTTTTTAAGTTCTTAAGTAACCAAACATTTTCAAAACCTTTCATCCAAAAAGTTTCACAAGCTGTCTGACAATAGCTGTCACTATTTGAAAGAGCTCTTTGAACCAGGCATTTGATCCAAACTTGAGCAAAAAAGCCCAAATTCCCTTATTTGAGATTCTTAGAAATGTAGTGAACACTCCTCACAACCAAGCTTTCTGTAAATGAAAAGCGGAAAGTAAACAAGCAAAAGGCTAAAAGGAGTAAACTGTAGGAAGTGTAGCTTTAGGTCGTTAAAAGAATTGAATTGAGTACTGGAATATGTAACTTTCAAGAACAATAGAAACTTCTTTTGATGATTAAGACAGTACAGTATATCATTGTGTTTTTGCAGTTATAGTATAGAGCTGATGTTATAAATAGGTAAATATATGTGTATGTGTGTGCATGTGCAATTACTTACCGTTTTCCTAAAGAGAAGATCACCACCAACAGCACAAAACTTAAAATTGCAATTTTCTAGCTAGGACCGCATTAGGAAATTCGCTCCTCCCAATATAGTCACCTTTTTCAACCCTAGAATTCAACTTCAGACAGGGAAATTTAATTTCACAAATCTATAGTTTGTGGGGATTAACTCAGCAACTATGACTCTATGGTAGCCCGTAAGGTTTTGCTTTTTCAAAAAATACTGAGACTTACTCAGAGCACAAGTGTTATGAAAGAGACAAAGTAAAATGAATAGTTTACAGACAATCTCTGAGATTCTCCAAAGAGTCCCCAGCAAAATGAAAGTGCTTCAAAGATTTTGGCCAGACCCATTCTGATCTTGAATGGAGTTAATCCTTGCACTCCTTCTAAGCTAACAAATTCATCATTGCGGTTTGTATCTTTGGACCACTGATGGAGTCTGGAGCCGTTTGCAGCCTCCTAAAGCATGATATCCTGTACTTCCACTGCAAAAGAGGGAAACTTGTTTCACCTGGTTACCTGCTTTTCTTGAATATTCAGAATTTGTACTAATTACTTCTCATCAGCGTTTGCAAGAAGCACCTCAGTGCACCCATTCAAACAAAAGTACAGGTAAACCCTTTGTCTCTGGAGTTAGATCCTAGAGAAAAAAAATACAAACAAAACTGACGTGGACCTAAATGCAACCAAAATGAAAAGAGCACTGCTTCCCTGTTACCAGAAAAAGAAGCTGGTTCAGCCTTCATCCTTAGGCTCTGAAGCTTTACTCCAGGTTTCTCATCCTTCCTTCATGTTCAAACTCATCCTTGCCGTTCTTCCCACTTGGATTCTTGCTGCTCATACTACTTTGCAGCTACTCAGGAAGTCTCGTTACTGCACCGTAACTTCTAGCTAGCAAAGTCGCTCCTTCTTTCAGCAACTGTTGCCGTAATCTTCCCAAATTATTTCTATGCAGAGAAAGCTTTTAAAATTAGTGCAAGACAGACCATTCCACCTCAAATGCTTGCAAGCTTGAGAACTGTGTGCATGAACGCACTAAATGCTTATGTGGTCCTGGCCAGAAGTGCCACTGGATATGTCAGCTGGAGCCCAGCCTAAAGCATTGCATTGGGTGAGTCTTCTGGAAAGGAAGCGGCACGCAGCAGAAGCAGCAGCCTGTACCAGCTGAAGCTGTAACTCAAGCCATCGTAACCTATGCTACGGTTAGAGAACCAATCCTTTAACAAAAATTTCATTGATGGCCTTTTATTCCTAACTATCAACAATCTTTCCCTCTGTTAGGTACATTTGAACCCATTCAGAATCAGTAAGCTATTTCCTCTTTATGATGAGCTCTATTTGTTTTC